TTCAAAGTTCAAAAGCGACCTGTTGCCTAACTACATAACCTACTCCTATTGAAACCATTTAACGTGAAATTGAGAAGGCTATCAAAAGTATGTTTCTTTTTTTACTCCCGTTAGGAAAACCAACAGCTACAAAAATGATAATGGTCAGTTTGATTTACAACATCAAGCCAATTACAGGTTTTCAAGAATTGAAACATTATAATTTAACAGAGATTGTGGAACACTAACCAACACGACACTACACCTATACAATAAATAATGATGAATATAAAAATGTTACGATTGGAAAAAAAAAATGTGTGAAATATTAATAAGTTTGTGATTTCGTTTATCTTTGAACAGAGTATAAGATTAGATTAGAATAGTTAAGGCTTCGCGTTTCCCTGCTTGATCGAATCCACAACGAGGAGATCCGCAGGAGAACAAAGGTGGTCGACATAGCCCAACGGATTAGCGCGCTCAAGTGACAATGGGCAGGGCACATAGCAAGGAGAACTGACGGCCGATGGGGCAGCAAGGTTCTCCAATGGAGACCACGTACTGGAAAGCGCAGTGTGGGACGACCGCTTACCCGATGGACGGACGACCTGGTAAAGGTTGCCGGAAACCGTTGGATGCAGGCCGCAATCAACCGTCCCCGCTGGAAATCATTGGGAGAGGCTTATGTCCAGCAGTGGACAAGCATAGGCTGAGGTATATAGTTAAGGCTTCACAAGTGTCAAGCAAAAATCTCAGGTAACACATAATTTAAACACATTACGAGTTATCGGCACCTCTGTCTTCATTAATAACTTTAATTAACCCATTAATCGTTTAAGTTGTCGTAATTTTGTAAAAATTAATTGTTAATACTCATTAATTAATAATTATGTAACGCTATGCAATGGTATAACAAACTATATAGTAAAATGTTATTTCTAGGTAATGAAATAACAGTTAATAAATAAATGTGGTGAATACTTGAATGAGTGAGCTTACAGAGGTCACATGAATCCATGTTTTATTTTTATAGGGGCAAGTGGCCATATGTTGCTGTCGATTACAACTTATACAATATGAAGAGATGACCAAACTTTTAGATTAGAATTTCGATAAAAACATGTTTTTGTAAACAATAAATTATTTCAAAAACATATGTTGTGCTCATTATATCTGATTGGTTCGAATTGATAGCTATGACATCAGAATATGGTCAGGAATATCTCTTTACTAGTTTACATAAAGTCGAGTTAACGTTTTGATTGTTCTATAATCTATTTTTTTCGAAATGTTTAAACAATGTATACATAATCATCAAAAACAGCATATGATATTCCACTGCTAGACATAGTCCTCTCCTCTGAAAGGAGGTTTTGGCCTACTATACAACGCTGGCCAGACGGGTTGATATAGGGTTTGTTTCAAGCTTTCCTTCTCTTTGCAGTGCTGTTGTCTTGCGTAGTTTTCTCTCTTAGTCGACTTTTACGACACCCACGGGATAAATAGGGGTGGTGACATTACGTATTCTTAATCCGTCACAACAAGGATATACATTATGAATGAATGTATTAATAACATAGACACATTACTGACACTATACGGAATCAATTACTAAATACACGCAATGATTACAGTGAAAGTATGAAGTACAAACACAGTACCGATTAATGTGTCTATTTAATTCATTACTAAAAAAGTGCGGGACAAATTTATCACGTTGTAATAAGTGTAGACAGGTAATAAACAAGAATTTAAACAACAAAGTCCTTTGACACTTTCATACAAGTGATTGGTGTTAAACTAAAATTGTCCTCAACCTGATCACGATCTCTATTGGTATTTTTATCTGACATTCTATCACGATTGCTTTACTATAGCAAAAGTCACACGAATGCAATTTAGATCAAATGTCAGATTGGATTATGGTTGTGTGATTTAATTATATATTATCAACGCTACCACCCTCCGTGGCGTGACCTACACTTAATAAGCCAAATTACAAGTGATCAGTTGCTGTATCAAGATAACATGCAACTTGGTTTTGTAGCAGCAAGATATAGTGTTATTCATAAAATCGAAACGGTGATGAACTTTACTGTCTGAACTTAACTTGTACTGGTTTTATGGCCACTTCATTTTTTCTTTTATTTAATTTATTTAGGTCCTTCACAGCTGACAGTAAGTACATGTAGAAAATTTACAGATTATTACTCCAATTACGAAGTACACAATATAACAGGTAGAATAAGTAAACAAAAGTGAACTCGCATTCATTAGTGCTTAAATGCATATACAATTATGTTAATAAAGTGTGTGTTATGATTGTAGTATGTGTCACAATGTCTGTGTGTGATCGTGTGTGTGTAGGGTGCGTGTTTGCTTGTTTGTGAGTGTGTGTGTGTGTGTGTATCTGTGTGTGAGGGTAGGTATGTGTGTAACCCTATATGCTTCCCTATAAACAATCTTGCTTGTTTGGTGTTTAAAAAAGTTCATATTTGGAGTCTTAAGACAAAAGGACTTGACTGGCCAGATGGTGTAGTGATTAGTGACTCTGACTGCTAAGCTGGAGTGGGTTCGATTCCCACCCTTGTCAAATAATTGTGTGATGAGCTTGATCATTTGTTCTGTGTCTAGGTGTATTTTTTTTTTATTTGTATTTTTTTTCAATTGCCACCGGTAAGTGGTATCCGAGGGGATTACCGCACAGAAAAAAAAACAAAAAAAATGTATGTATTCAGAAATATATAGGTATATTTATCGGCAGTCTGGTGCAGGAAGCCGTGTGTAAGATGTGTGCAATCAGTATTATAAATGGGAAATACCTTTATTTTTCTTTATTTAAAAAGACAACTCCCGCACTAGGAATATATCCTGTGTCGCGGGGCACTTTACAAACATACATGAAACGGACACAAAGAACACCATGACTCAGAACAACAATCGTGAATAACACAAAGTGTCGTCCCATGTGGGGATCGAACCCACAACACTCAGCGTAGTAGTAAGCGGCGTGGCGACCGCTTAAAGCACTACGCCATCCTGTAGAATTGTGTTTAGTGCATGTTGAGACATAACAAAAACAGTTATTGTTGATGGCTTTGGTTTGATGCCCTTTGAAACAAGCATTGGTCGAAACAAGCCGAAGACAGGTGTTGGCTATTTTACTGAACAAAATCCTGCGTTGTAAATCTTGGAATACAGTATATATATCATTCAATAAGACGAAAAATGTTAAACTCATGGTTAAATCTTTACATCTGTGTTGTAAGTTTAATATTTTTAAATGAATAACCAATGTATCTACTAACCTCATGATTTGACTCAATAAAATTTAAAAACATCCGCTTGCATAAATCCTGTGTAGAAAAACGTACTTACTATTGTGAAATACTTGTAACTCTCTATTTTCTCATCGAAGTACCTCGTTTACATAATCGAATCACAAAAATCATAAATATTGAAATCCCTAATTGGCAATCGACGTTCGGAAATCCAAACTACAATTTTGAACTACAAGTGGTATCGTTAAAATTGAATATTGTGTAATTAATTTAATTAAATTGTGTTTTAAAGTAATTTAAGTCAAAGTAACATTGCCGAAACTTTCAACTTTCTGATTAAATTTAACTGGAGTATGTGTAGACGGTTAATTTGCATTTTGATTTGAATCTGACCTTTTATCAATTTATGTAGATCCATATCTTTATGTTTATTGATGCAAACGATTTTACATGACTCGGGATTGTAATGACCTTTTAATATGACAACTGTATCAGAGAAACATGTTAACATTTTTATCGATATTGGCTGCTTTCTTTTTTTAAACACACCACTCAAAGAAAATGGAAAAGCTACAACCACAGCAATGTATTCAGATGCTGGAGCAAAAATAGGTCTTATAAGCAAACTTTGGTCATAGTTATACGTAATTTAAAAAAGCTAGATTACTTTTATACCCTGTGCTATGTTTTAGCCCCCCCTTCCTTTTAAAAGCTTTTCATTTTATTTATGGTGTTCTAAATTTTGAGTTATTTAGGTAACTGATTATGTTTCATAAAAGGTATCGTTTAGGTATCGTAGGTATCGTTTTGTATAGATGTAAATCTAAATCTACAGGGTTCAGTTGGCAACAGTCCTCCTCAACCTCTTTTCTAAGGAGAGGCCTATGTCCAGCAGTGGACTATTAAATGCTGTTGACAGACCTCTTAACCTCTTCAAATGCAGAATACAACCGTAGGGATCTTCCACTCCATCACATGAAAGGGTTATCTACATTTCCTCAACTTGACTTTTCGTCAGATATTAAGGACAGGCCCGTCTATAGCCTATTGGGGGCCCTGGGTATATTAGGATAGACAAAGAAAGTATTGTATTAGTCATTGTTAGTGGATTTTTCAAAATAAATAAAATGTTTTTCGGTAATAAATATCTATTTTTGATAGGTGATTTAGCAGGAATTAGGGGCCCCTAACGATCGAAAGTGGGATATAAGGGCCTGATTAAGGAACGTGTCTATTGTCACTTTCGCAACTGCAACTACTGACAGACAACTACTGACCCAATGCCAAGAAGAGTTTTTTATTTCATGACACGGGGTGAAACGAAGACGGGCACATGATTTTAAGTAACGCTGCAACTCAAGAATCATTTCAATATAGACAACAAGAGAGATGAGTAATAGATAGATTCCTTTATCTTTTTCTAGTCAAGCTCTGTGGTTGGCTGGGGAATATGAGGGGTTGAAAAGTAGCCAATCGCAGCATAGCCAAACAAAGAGCTAAACAGAGACAGAGAAAACTATCGGGCATCCGTCTCTCTCGTTGCCTGTATCGCTTCCAATTACAGGCAGCTGTACCCCGTGTTCTCTCTATGCTTATATCTCTACTCTCTACTCTACTCTGGGTTGATACTAATAATAAAAAAAACATGAAATCTTAAAAATCTAATTTAGCAGTACTATAATAACATCTAAAAGTATAATTAAATAAATAACATAACAAAAATCCTTAAAGGCTCTCCATCTAGGAGGCATATTTATCACCGACGTGGTGTCTGACCCCCCACTTGTAGTTGGCGTTCTTGTCGGTCTTTACGAAGGTATGGACAGGACCTGTGACGCCGCTGGTGCCCCTGTGGTTGTTGCCGGATTGGTAGTCGTGGTCGTGGTCATAGTCGTCATGACCACGTTTTGGGCGATGTTGTGGTTCTTCTTCTATGTCTGATGTTTCAACTGGAGCTGAAATTTTCATATATGTTTTATTTATATTTAATAAATTTTTATCAATATATAACATTTGTATTACACCACGAAAAATTCATCATCAACAGCCTTTAGTAGTCCACAGCTGGAGATATGCCTCTCTTTATCCTCTCTCTTCTTTTTGATTTTGGAATACTATACCAATGAAAAATTATATTGCTTAAATATCTAAAAAATTATTTTGGTCGTTGAAATTTAATGTTCAGTGCCCATAGCACGAGCAGCGTACTCCAGAAGAATGTACGAGTATGTAATATGTATGGATTTAGAAATACTTAAGTATTTTTATCAGCAGTTTGTCTAGTTTGGGATCAGAATGCTGTGTGTGAGATGTGTAAAGTTATTATTATTAGTATATATTAGTATTCAGTTGAATTAAGTATATCCTTATTTATGGAGTCAGTGAAATATTGGGAAAATTTACCTGGAACTTTGCGATGTGCGTGTGGATTGGCGTGTAAATATGGCCTTGGATGAGGTGGAGGAGCGAATCTCGTGAACCTCATCGGTGCTCTCGGAGCTGACGGGTAAGGTAATGACCATGAGGAGGCCACTGCAATCATGCAGGCCAAAACGAGCTAAAGAAAAAGAAACAAAATTTCAAATAACAAGTATTTCATTCAATGAATATTTTTAGGGAGAGCGATGCTTCGGCACAGAAAACCAGTGTTAAGATTTTTTTTGTGGCTTTTTTACTGAGTGAGTGAGGTTACTTGATGTCTTCCCAATTAAGGTTATCTTAACTCTGGGGGGAGGGAGGGGGAGAGGGAAACCCGTCACTCCAAGAAGAAGAAGAAGAAGGGCTAACGCCCTTGTGTCTTCTAAGCTGGCTGGAGGTGATTCGTCGTACACCATAGAAATCCTTCCTAAAAAAACTTGAACCAACTTCAAATAATACTGAAAAATCGGTTAAAAAAGAATCTCAACACGTATAACAGTCGGGTCGTTTTTAAAGCACCAATTTTATTTTCACCGAAATTTAAAATACATATATTGTTTTATCTAAAATCACGTTTGAATTGAATCTAGTTAATACCTTAAAACAAGTTCTTGTATACAGTCTAGACCTAAGTGCTTTCTAGGAAATAACTTTATCAATTGAGGTGAGTTCCTATTCAAGTAGTTTTACTTTCTAAGAATATCTGATGTGGAATGATGCTAAGTTCGCTTGCAAAATTATTAATTTATTATATTTATGGTACTTTGATAAGACTCCCTCCCACACGCCCACTACTGTAAATTATGTACACCAGAATGAACAGCAGTAATCCAAGAATACACCGAGTAATAACACTCGAGACGTCCCAGGAATAGTTAACCTGTTTTGGAACCCACAACAAAATTAATGATAAGTAAACTGAGTGAGTTAGAAGTAAAATATTTATTGTACTACCAACTTTTTTTTTTGTAGATCGCAGTAGTATCACTCATAATCCAGGCCCCAACTGTTACTCAACACTTTTTCAAATTATTTAACTGTAGGTGGTATACAATCGCGGCAATTTTTAAGTAATTTAAAACAGAAAGTTATAGCAAAAAGTTTAAATTAAAGGTACAAAATAAATTCGAAATTAAATTGAAGCTTTAACTTTATGAGCTCATGAAACATTTACTTGTATTAATTTAGTTCAACGTATTAATTTAGTCAAACGTAACAGATTCATGACACAAGACTTAATAGACTTATGTAGGTATTTTACGTGTTGTACCGAACAAACCAGTTTAGTAAATTTAGTTTTCACCTAGATTATAATCATATAAAATAAATTAAAATGTAATACATGTTAGTAGATCTTCATCCATTAATAATGGAGCGCAATTAGTCTCCGTCTGCATGCTATGTATTTATAATTACGAAAGTAACTACTTTTGCTTTTATGCGGCATCGTAGTAGAACCTTCTACGGGTTCGATTTGAACAAAGGTATTTATATGATGGAGCTATTTGTCTATTAGTTAGAGATACTGACTGCAGAGTCGGAGGCCCTATGTTTTAAAATGAAAAATAAATAAATAAATAATAATAATGAATTCGACTCTCTAGTCCCAAACGAAACAGAGCCCGTACTATGGTTACCAGACTGCTGATAAACATACGAGTACTTATATATTTCTAAATACATACATATCTTTATATAGTATAAAATGAAGTCGCTTTTTGTTCTTCTACGCTTAGATCTTTCAAACCACGCAACGGATTTTGATGCAGTTTACATGACGGAGTTATAATACAGGAAATCCGAGAATTTTAAAGATTTGTAATGTTAAGTCATAACAAACATGTTACGTTGCAAACGTTGGCTAAACCTTACGAGATAAATCGAAATACAAAAAGAATGTGGCAACAATTCTGAACAATGCAGTATTATTCCTTATCCAATTGAATACGTTAGATACGTTGTGCATGTAATGTAGATCAAAATTGCCCTTTACAAAATATCAAAGATTTAAAATAAGGGGGAAAATCGGTAGTCGGGCCATACGTCCTTCAAGAGTGGCTTCGGGCGGCAGGAGCGGAGTGGGCCTATAAATATTGTACATAAAGATGTCCTGTAGTACGAGTATAGTCTTATCATAATAATACGAGTAGTATAATTAATTCTTTCAGACTGAAATAACTTTAGTAGTATCTACATTGCACCCGTGCGAAGCCGAGGCGGATCGCTAGTTTCAGATAAATTACATACGGTTCGATTCCCACTCAGAACAAATATTTGTGTGATGAGCACGATCGTTTGTTCTGTGTCTGGGTGTAAATTTATCTACAATATATATGCATTTAGAAATATATATATAAGTATGTTTATCAGCAGTCTGGTTACCATAGTACAGGCTCTGCCTAGTTTGGGATCAGACAGCCGTGTGTGAGATGTGTGAGGTTATTATTATTATTATGTTTATCAGCAGTCTAATTACGACAGTATAGGCTGTTTAGGATAAGATGGCCTAGGTTGTGGTGTCTCAAGTTATTACTTACATAAACTATATCAAGTTTAACCGTATTTCTAGAACCAATAACACCCAGATATGTTTAGTTTGCGTCTGAATAATGCTGTACAATATGCCCCAGAATATTTTATGAAAATATTTATATGTGTACATTATTACATGTGAATAGAATATTATATGATATATGGATGTAGGAGTAATATATAGTAATATATAATTGAAACAGCATGTGATGACGTCAGAAAGACAACACCGTACTACGTAAAGGTAGCTTTCTTATACTCCTGCTCGCTATGGCGGTGTAACGTGATTAAATTGTTTAACTTTTATCTTAACTTGTAAATGAATGTATTTTCTTAGAACTAAGTAGTAACTAGTATGTTAGACTAGCGTAGTGTATAATCTTAGTTTTTTTATCTACACGTATAGTGATGATAGAAAGAATATTATGCTGATGCATAAATGCATCTGAATATGTACACGGTATTTCTTGTTTCGGCTAATCTCCGGAATGGATAGTGCAATTTTCACGGGACTAGCAGATTATTAATAAAATTTAAATAGCTCTTAAACCTTAACAATACCTGTCTTTAATATCTAAAAGCTGAAAGCTTATTCGTTCGCATATTGATTTGTTCGTTTTATGTAACACTGCAACACTCTAATTCCTTAATAAGTCTTCCGTTTGCATCACTCATCAAACATGATTTACAATAAAACTTAAATGTTAAATAAAAATTTAATAAATATTTTAATATGCATTCATAAATACATCTAAATACATATATTCTTTCAATTTAAGCTACTATTTTGTTTATTTAAATTAGTTTAATAATTAATTAGTTTTATACCTACACATGAAATATAACATATTCTGCGGTATAGTACACACATAGCGCACTCCAGGCAGACTAAGCTTATCTTCTTTGTTTTTTTAAGACTACTTCCTCACTAGTAATTTATTCTGTGTCGTGTGAGACTTTACGGACACAAAGGACGAATACTCAGAACACACAACACTTAAATCACTACGCCATCCTTGCAGTCGCGCATGCTGTTCATCTTATCTTAAGGGTTTTCGAACAAGCATAAACATTACTTTTTAGAAACACCCAGATCAGTGCCAATAAAAATTCTAGCCACATTAACATTACGTACGTATCAGGAATAAAAAAAAAAAAATTTGTTTGATAACGTCAATTCAGATCGAAATTTTAAAACCTGTAAACCACAACTTTTCACATATAGTTTTGTACATACGGACAATCGCCATGTCTTATACATACATATATTTTTATCACTCCCTTTATGAGTCAATTAGGTCTAACTTAAATAAAGATTAACTTCATAAAAAAGGATGAACCAAATTCGAACTTACCAATATTCTCGAATCCATTTCTAAAAGTACTAGTAAAGTTACTGTCTTGGATAATAATGGCGTTGGTTTTGTCAATCACCTTCTTATAAGTAAGAAAGAAAACGAATTTAAAACACTTTCTATTGACGATTTTACGGTTGGTCGCACCACAGCCGATTCGGTCAAATCGAATGAAGTATAAACTTCCAAGATGGATGAAAAATTCTCCAATATTATGCATATTTAGACGTAATTCATCTAAACAAAATAAATAAGTCATTTCACAAGAAATCAAGGTTTTTATAACAATAATTGCGTAATTGGAAAAACTTAGGTAACAATAAATTTCATAGTTATTAAGGATTATTCAGATGTTGTAAAAAAAATAGTCATTACGCTTCTCATTTACGAAAAAGTTATCTAACAAAAGTTCATAATTTCTTTTAAATCCTTTTGGTTAAGTTACAGTAGTCTTTTATCCTTGTTGTTCAAAGTGTGACGTACTCTCTTTTGTTTTATTTTTTCTATCTTCTACGCCGTTATCTTTAGTTTTTTGAAGTAACACTTCTTTACGCACGCTTGGGGAGTAAGCTGGTGAATACGTAAGTGTGATCGGGCGAGACGAACGGAAGTTGAGAGGGAGATATAAGTTAGTAAAGATAGAAAAAGAGAGAGAGAGAGAGAGTTTCGTATATTCTGTAGGGGCAAGACAGAAACTATTCTAAATATGATACGATTCCGTGCCTTATATTTGTTTAAAAGAAAGGTTCAAAAAAGAATTTCTTTCACGTAAAAATACATATGTGATACTTTGGATTGTATTAAACAGCTTTGGGATCTAAAAGAAACCAGAATAATAGAAGTTTATTCCGCTAGAAATAATATTGCAGTAATAATAATGTTTTGTAATGACTTTCCATATGAACAATTATTTGCAGAGAATAAAACGGAATTAATTACTGACATTATATAATTTAATTATCTGCAAATGCACTTTCAATGTTGCAAAGTAAGAATTTTTATTTAATCGGTACTAATGTGACCTATTTCTTAGCGTTCCAGGGATTCAAAGTGCGGGTGTCGGGTCCATCCATAGACGGGAGTAACACATGCTACTTTAACAGCGCCTGGGACCTGCGACCCAGGTATAGGTTTAGGGAGTACTCCTCACGCTCACCTCCACTTTCTGCTGTGTTACCCCCCTCTACCTAACCATATTTGTAACGAGCCTAGCAATGCCGCTTTGGATATTCGTTCAAGAAAAGAACTTACTGAAGCTCTTGGCAATCCAAAGTCTTTAAGCAGGTTATAGAGGGATTTAGCTGGTATACTCCTCGCACCTACTTCCACGGCATACAACGCAGCGACATAACCATTTTTAGTTATTTCGTTGGTTAAGTTACAGTAACAGTGGTACGTAAATAATGCGTAATTTGGAGTTTTAACGGTTATAATGGCTTGTGCAAGATCAAAAAATCTTCTTAAGTGCCCCAATACCAAATGAGAGGTTATTTAAGGTTAATGTCTTAATTTGGAAGACCGTTTTGAAATACAATTGTGTTTATTACGCGATTGTGTTATGATTCTCTTTACTTTTCAGTGATATTCTAATTTTTGTATATTATATTTAAATATGTGAGATTAACTGAGTGTGAGGAATTATTAATATGAGGTGAGAAACTTGATGACACGGATGGCGGATGGATAATCACTAATTAAAGCGGTCACTATACTTCACCTCACCGGTTCCTACTGCGCTGAGTGTTGTGGTTTCGAACCTCACTTGGGACAACACATTGTCCAATCCACAATTTGTTGTTCTGAGTCTGGGTGTTCTTTGTGTCCGTTTTATGTATATCTGTAAAGTCCCCCGCGACACAAGATATATTCCCAGTGTACAAGTTGTGTCTTTAAAAATATGAATAATAAGAAAACTGTGTAAATTAAAATAAGATATAGTTTAAGAATTGAGGAACAAATGCTGCTATTGTTCTGGCTTTTAGAATAATTTGTGTAAAACGAAGTGATGTCAACGAAGCGAAAACCAAGGTCATCGACATAGTCCACCGGATCAGCAAGCTGAAGTGCCATTGGGCTGGCCATATTAGCCGCAAAACAGACAACCGCTGTGGTAAACGAGTTCTTGAGTGGAGACCGCGTCTCAGCAAACGCAGTGTAGGACGCCCCCAGGCCAGGTGGAGTGACGATTTGCGCAAGATGGCTGGCAGAAGCTGGATGCGAGAAGCCGAAAATCGATTGAAGTGGCGTGCAATAGGAGAGGCCTATTTCCCCGTGATCCCGTGAATTATCAATCAATCAACCTCTATGCTGTAATATGTATGACGTATGGGCATGTAAAAAACATCTGAATTTTGTGACGTTTTACATGAATAAACTCTTCTCATCAAAATCATCTTCTAGCCCTTTTACCAAATGTGTTTAGTTTGGGGCAATAGCTTGAACAGGCCACTGTCCATTCTATAACTGGAGAACCTATTAAGAATTCCCATTTTTATTGTTTAATTCGTTAACTTCTTCTTCTTTGCTTGGCCCTTTCCCATTTTATTTGGGGTCGGCCCTGCGTATCATGTGTCTCCAGGCAGCTCGGTCTTGGGTCATGTTTTTGTTGACTTGGGCTTCTTTGTCTAAATAATAACTGTTAACTGGCCATAAGTAATTCTTCTAAATATAAAAAGTAAGAAAGTCTTGTAGCTCTCACCTTGAAATCGTGCTACAACCTATTTTTCTCTATAGACTCTACATTCTTGTAAAAAAATGTAAAGTTCACGGCTTTACCATGGCCTCAAAGATCGTGACAAGAACATAAAGTCATGTTAACCATTATTGTGAGACATCTTCGTTAGAAACATTGCATTCAATGATTATACCAATTTGCCTAGATGGGGGATCAGTTTAAATTTGTTACAGTGCTTAAATAAATTAGTTTTAGATGGTGTAAATTATAGTCGATTGCGTTTTTTAATCTACAGCTTATAAATTTGGTTTACTATTAATGGAGGTAATATAAAAAGTCTTTTTCGTCATGCGACATTGTTTTCCAGTCTTGTTCCTTTATTGACAATTGTACGACACATGACTTTACATTTAAAAGAATACACTTTTTAGATCATTAAAAAATATTCACTAAGATAATTGACTGCAATTAATAAAGTAAACAACAATGTTGTAATCATCATTAGCCTTTCGCAGTCCACTGCTGGATATAGGCCTCTCCCATTGCACGCCACTTACATGTATTTGGTGGTTGTACACATTATCAAAGAGGCCAAGATTCGTAAACAAAACCTTAAAGGCAAAGTCTGCATTAGCCACTTATACACTACATTTACTTTCAAACGAAAGTCGCCTACATCTTGTACCAATCGTATTGTTTATTGTTTGTGTAGCGATCGTGATCACAGCCTATGCGAGTACGATCGGAAATCGTAAGCTGACATACTTTCATCTGACGACCACGTTTCACAATGTTTTACCTAGTTCTAACCCATTGAAGTTCTGACCAATTTTCATTTTAAAGTTGTCACACAACACACACACACACTTGGTATTTTAAATGAGATGAGATCTTTTGAAGAAAAGAATTTCTTGGAAAGCAAGTTTTGATCTCCCTTTGTTTTCTGTCATTGGATACCTGTGCCTGATTAAACTTATCTCTAAATTTTATCATTAAAATATTGATTTGTTTTCAAATGTGCGTACTCCCTTCAATATATTAATATCATAATGTAAAAAAAATACATAAACTAGTTATTATTTACAAATTATTTTACATAAAAGATAATTAGGCAACTGAGCGACGGCCAGGTTTTTTTGGCTTTCCCCGTACGTTCTCAATTGCGAATTTGATAATAAATGCAAATGGAGAAAAACAGAAAACTAAAGGTATATAAGTATTACTTTGTAATTTAACAATAACGAACCTCTAACTTGTTATAATGATATTTGGACACCGTCGAGAAGTTTTTTTAACGTACCTATTTTAAGTTAAAGCCATTTTTAAGTTACAAATAATTTTAAAATATCAAATACGTGTATGATTACCAGATACCTCAGTCAGCATAATTGTGACTGAAGTATTGAAAAAAAGAAAAACTATGGAATCACCTAAAACAAATATTGGTCATTAATAACTATTGAACTTTACTCTTCAGATTGAATAATAATCTGTTGTGGCTCAGTCTTATATTATGTAAAACATAGGAGGCGATAATTTAAATTAAACATCACTTATAACTAAATAAGTTATAGTATGTAGTTAACGGAGTTTCGTATCCAAACTGTTAGAGTTCACTCTGGTTCACGACATTATTACACTTTTGACATAATGCCGCTAACCTGAGTTTTATAGTTATCTTGAAATACACTGTGGGAAAGAGAAGAACTCTTCAGCGGCACGCATGATGAGGTATGAGGCAAGGCATTCATTACATACACAACATAATAGATCTCAATTAAATCTAGATAGAAAACTCATACAAGATGCAATCTCTGTGCTCCACATTACCTAATTAGGTATCGGTGTGAAAGTTGAACGAATTACGTAACAATGAATCTGCGTAATGACCACAATTAGTTTTTATTCGGTGTGCGCGGGCGCAGGCTGCCGCATTTCCGCCAGTTCACCTACTTATAACTGTGACAATATTCTTATAAGGTAGTGACACACCGTAAACCATATATTCTCGTGTTAATATGAGTTAAGTATATGTTGGGCACATTCAATGTTGCAGAGCCGTAACCATACTTTAACAGACGAACTTGGCATTAGTAACATAGCCCAAAGGTTCAGAGTTGAAGATCTTTTTTTATGAGTTAGTGGACATTGACCAATGAGCAGATGGGTGCCAGATTACAAATTTAGCCATCAAATACACCTGCAAAGCTAAAGTCACAAGTGTGATGCCAGTTATTGAAGTGGCAGTAAGGTCTTTTCTTGATAAAGGTTTGTAGGTCGTATCGGTCTGGCAAAACATAAGCAACAGGTTTGTAATATGAGACAGGAAGTTTCTTGATAAGCA